GGCGCAGAGAGAAGGCGCGGGGGTACTCGTTGGAGCGGGAAAAGGGCAGTAAGCCGGTTACCCGGTTATCACTGTTTACTTAAACATAGGACCCCGGTTGATGGATTACATAAGCATGATACGCGTGATGACGTTTTTTCGGCTATGCGTTCCTAATTTTTTTTATCACTCGCCGCCGCCACTTTCGCCGCTCTCCCCAAAAATGCATCGGTAACAGAGACTTGCATACACTTATTGCATATTTTTACCATCTCTCTTCCTCCTATGTCGTCATCTTTCTCGCCGCGTTGTTACTCCTGTTGTATCTCTCCCTCATACGCAAAAATATTTTATCATACGTTTTTTATTTAATGATTTAAATAGAGAGAACGATTAATACGGTCATGATTGTCTGTCGCAATACCATTGAGTGCGAAGATGCTGGCGGCGCGCTAGTAATACGATAGCGTTGCGATAATAAGGAAGGAATGAACAATGTCATACACTCAGATATATAGTTCAAATATACATTTACTTTTATAAATAACGTAATTTTATAATATATAGTTCTTATAATATTATATAGTTCTTACAATATTTATAATCAAGAACTTAATTTAATTAAATTAATTTCAAATTTTAATTAATTTCGAATTTTAAGCACCTGCTTCCGATTAGCAATAAAATGTACATTTACTTTTTACACTGTTTACAATATTATCTAAAACATAAACTATTAACTTACACTCTATATTGATTTTTTATTATAAATTTTGCGCAAAAAATCTATAACATCATATTTATCGATACAATTTTTACCAAAAGTGTACCAAAATATTGTATTTAAATTTTTAATTGACGATATGTGTATACTGACACATCAGAGTATACGTTCTCGACGCAATGTTTGAATTTGAATATGCAGAGTACGGTTGACGGCTTCATATATAAACATGTTTCGTGCAGTGTTAATTTAACTACATTCACATCACGCATTTTTACGATTTCTATCACTAGATCTTTGACCCATAATGATGAAGGTGTGATTGATTGCTCGAACCGCTCAATATCCGCGCATCTTTCGATAAAAGCCTGCCACATTGCAAGATTATGTTGTTATCTTGGTTGTCGCCAATT